GGCTGGGGGGAAGGCTGGGGGAGGGCTGGGGGGAGGGCTGGGGGAGGGCTGGGGGCCAGGAGCTGGGATGCTGCCGAAGACTCAGGGCTTCCTCCCTGGATTCAGGACGCCAGCCCACCCTTCTGCTCCAAACCCAGCTTTACGGAGGCGGAAGACCGCGGCCGGGGCACCCCCCTACCCTGAAGATGTCATCTTCCGAGGCCGCGGACACAGCCTCCTTCATGGCCTTGTCCAGCTCCTCCTCGGCGGTCAGGTCCCCGGAGATGGCCCGGCGGATCTCGGGCCCAAGGTCATGCAGGGTGCGCAGACCAGCCTGGAGCCCAGGGGGACGATGCGTGAGGGCCCCGGTGCCCCACCTGCCACCCATCCGCCCCTGTGCCTCTCCCCGCAGCAGGCAAGCCTCCGGAGGTCCACAGGGCATGAAGGCATGTTGGGAGGGGCTGTTTCGGGGGCGTCAGCAGACCCCCCAGCCAACTCCCCGAGCTCTGCGGGCTGCGAGGCCACAGGAGGGGAGGGTCACCCCTGCAGCATCCACCCTGGGGAAGGCTCAGGGCCCTCAGGAAGGGACCCGCCTCCAGCCAGCCCGTGAGAGCCCCGGGCCTGGCAGAGGCAAGAGGAGGGTGCCAGGCCCCCTCACCTGCAGGGACAGGGCGTTCCTCCGGGCGGGCTTGCCCACCAGGCCTTGCTCCTTGCGCTTCTTGAATTTCCGGAAATACTCTTGGATCAGGAAAGTAGCGTAAAACTTGCCCACCGTGACCTCATCATCTGAGAGCAAAGGGAGGACAGGGTGAACAGGGAGTGAGCAGGGGCGCTTGGCCAGGCCCCAGCATCCACGCCTCCTTAAGTTTTCTCAATTAAACTGTTTGGAAGAGGCCCTCCATGCACGTGGTTCAAAAGGACAAAAATACACAGAAAGGTGTGTGTACAGTGAAGAGTCTCTCCCCCCACCTCCTATCAGATAACCTTTCTCTTTCGTTTCTTATTTCCCCAGAGATTCTTTATGCAAATGCTTCCTGCAGATAAGCAAATATATTCCTACCCTCTCTTTATTTCACAGGAAAAGTAGCCTATTGTCAAACTTATTTCCCACCTTGCATTTTTTACTTAACTGACCTTGTTGGTTAACTCTTTTAAGATTCCGGAGCTCCAGGTGCCCGCTGATAATCGCCCAGGCCCCTAAGGGCTAGCGTCCTGCTTAAGGGTTGGTGGGAGGGCTTGGTGGGAGGGGTGCAGGCCCCCCATCTTTTTCGGGGCTTTCTAACCCGGTGGCTGGGCTGCTCCCCAAGTGACACAAGACAGAATCAGCCTCCGTCTTGGGAACGAAGTGGGTGGTGAGAAGCGAGTGGGGCCCCGAGGGGAGCAGTTCCTGCTCCACGAGGAGCCCCCCTGCCCCATCTTCCGGTTCTTGGGGGAGGACGGGGCGGAAGGCCTGGAGAAGGCTGCTGGGTTGCATCTGGGGGCTGTGATGGCTCCCCTGCTCCTAGCTGTCTCGTGAGAGTAGCCAAACCCACAGCTGCTTGCCTTCCGTCCAGCCGGCAGGGGCCCCAGCCCCACGTGGAGGGGATGCCCGAGCCCTGTCTGCTGTGAATCGGGGAAGACTAGCTCTGGTGGGTAGGGTGGCCCCCTTGGACCTGGGTCCTGAATCCTCAGGGCTCTCACCACCAGCCTGGGGTCGGTCAGCAACTCAGCAGCTGAGAACCAGCTCCTAGAGCAGGCGTCACAGAACCGTGATGGGGATTAAGGGACATGGTGCGTGTGACGCCAGGCCACGTGGCGCCCGTCCCCAGGCCTCCCTTCCTTTCGGGGGTGGGTCTCGTCAGGGGCAGCAGGAGTGTTTTGGGAATGTATGGGACTTTTCTCAGTGTCACTGAGATTGTCACCATGCTTTGGGGATGCTGCTGGCGTGAATGACGTGGCTCTGGATATGTCCCGAAAAGCACAGTGAATACTACCTTTGCACCCTGCCAAGGCCACGCCAGACATCTGTGGGGGGACTTCCCGCTATAACCACCTGAGCTAAGACCCTCACTCGGCTCCACGTGGGACCTGCATGGCTGTGATATCCCAGTTTCCCAGGAATATAATTGCTGTTTAAATGGATGGAAGACCGCTTTGTTTTGTTTCAACCTGAGTAAGAAGGGTGCACGTTTCAGAAAACTGTGTCCCTGACGGTGCCGCTCCGCGAATGTGATCCCCACAGGGCCAGACCCCGCGATCAGCCTGCACTTACCCCACGTGTGTGCCCAGAGCTGTCTGTACTTATTTAAAGATAGTCCATAAGCCCTTACTTACTTCAAAAAGACAAACGCAAAATGTCAACCATGTCAACACTGTTTGTTTCCTTTAAACACAAACTTATTCGTAACAGTGGGTGCAGACGAGCGTTTGGTCAGTTAACTAGAAATTCGGGCCCCTGAGTTATTTATTGAAAAACATTTGATTTTAACGTATTTCATATTAAAGTGTTGTACTCATACTTTGGCAACTGTATACGGAGGACGGTTGACAGAGTCGACAAACACTGCCCCGGGAGGAGCAGGAAGGGGCATCCCGGGGGCTCCTTCTCCAGGACCCCATCATGCCTAGAGCACCCAGCCCGGCAGGCTATGGGGAAAGCTCGACTTTGCAGAGTTTCCTTGAAGTTCTGCCCAACCTCCAGGCATCGGGGGGCCTAGTTCGGCCTCCTCTGTGACCTCAGGCTTGGACCAGGCTCCAGCCCGAAAGGGCAGGCCTCCCGCAGCCTGGACTCAGGACCCGCATGCGCCCAGGGTGGGGTGACTCACCTCCCGCAGGCGGCACCACCTGGTCCAGCAGCTTCATGCTGGTCCGCTTCCAGATCTTCTTGATGATGGCCCGCAGCTCCTCGTTGGCCTGTTCCAGGTTCCCTGTGGGGAGGGAGATGCAAGGCCGACTGACCAGCTGCCCCTGAGGGCCTCCCGTGGGCTGGTCCTGCTGTGGGAGTGGTGGCCGCGGCCCGCGGGCTCTGTCCGCAACGGCTCTGGCCCGTCAGCCCCATCATCCTACCCCCCGGGGCTCCCGCTGTCAGCCTCCGGCCCCTCTTGGCCTCTCTCCCCTTCCTCCCCGCCTGCTGCTCGGCCGCCAGGGCAACCCTGCACCCGCTCTCTGTCCCTCCTTCTCCTGGAGGGGGCCCCTGAGGCCCATGATCGAGCTGGACGGCCACAGGGGCTCCCCCTGGGCCGCCAGGGAAACGTGGGCAGCTGGAAGGAAGTGTGGTCCCCTGCAGACCCACGTGGAGCGTCCACGCTCGGGGGTCTCTGTGTCAAAGCTCTCTGCTGAGTCTCCTGCTGGGAGGAGGTGGCAAAACCTTGGCGTGGAAGCAGAAACCAGAAGACAGGGGGTCCTGAGGTTGGGGGCTTCTCTGGGTCTCCTTTCTCCACTGGCAAAACAGGCTTAATTAGGTGCCTCTCTGTGCGCCTCTGGGATACTGGCTTACAGCCCTGGGAGACGAAAGCTGAGACCCGCAGCCGTAAGAGAGGACTGGGGGGCTGGGTCTAACACGCCCCCAGCTCTCTCCCGCCACCACCAAGCACGCACCCTGCATGGCCCCTGGGACCGTGAACTCGGGGCCTAATCCCAGCAGTGGATTAGCTCTTCACAAGGAGAGGGTTCTCAGGGGCAAACTCCCAGTTATAAAATAAATATGTCCTGAGGATGTAAAGTACAGCATGGGGACTAGAGTTAACAATACTGTACTATACATGTGCAAGTTGCTAAGCGAGTAGATCTAAAAGTTCTCATCACAAGAAAAAAATTGTAACTGTGAGGTGACGGATGTTAACCAGACTTATGGTGAGCATTTTGCAATAAATACAAATACGGGATCACTATGTTGTTCATCTGAAACAACTGTAATGTTACATGTTAGCTATGACTCAATAAAAAATCATACAAAGCAAAAAAACAAACAAAAGTAATTCATGACGGGGGCCAAAGACAAGAGAGTCCTCCGTGGCTGGGAGCAGGGCAGGTGCAGGGCTGCGTGCGGGCCTCGGGGGCACAGCCGAGAGCTGGTCCTGCACCTGCAGCGAGTGAGTCTGCTGACAGCCTGAGCAAGTCGGAGGTGGACTCTTCCTCGAGCCCCGGGAAGAGGACATGTCCGGGTCAACAGTCTGGTTTCGGCCTGGAGGCCCCATGGCTGGACTCCAGACCTTCAGAGTGGGAGGTGCTGGGTGGGTGGTGACACGGCAGCGGGCGAGCACAGCGGGCTTAGAGGCCGGCGCCGGGGAGGTGGCCGGTGGGTCCCGACACGTGTAGCGGGAGCCCTGATTGACACGATGCTCAGATACACTCGTCTTCCGCGGTGGGCTCAACGGTGCCCCCATGTTCACACCCACCTGGAAACTTAGGCGGCCTGTAGGTAGAAATCTTCGCAGGTGTATTAGCTGAGATGAGGTCGTGCTCATTGGGGGAGGGGACGACACTCATCCAATGTGATTGGTGTCCTCATAAGAGGAGGGGATGCAGAGAGACGCTCAGAGAAGACAGCGGGGGGGCGGGCGGAGTCAGGGAGCGGAGAGACCCAGCTACGTGCCTGGGGGGCCCAGCACTGCCCGCACCGCCAGCCACCAGGACAGGCCGGGACGGACCCCCTCCGCGCCTCCAGAGGAACCCACCCCGCTGACCGCTGGCACCTCGCCTTCGGACTTCTGGCCTCCTGACTGTGAGAGAATGAATTTCTGTTGTTTGAAGCCCCCAGTTTGTGATAATTTGTTACGACAGCCCTGCGCAATGACACATCTTCCAAAAGGGTCTGTCACTTTTCTCCAAGCCTTAGTTCATTCTCACCGTGATCTATGTAACCTTGAACTTCATAACCCCTTGCTTCATGTCATCTAAGTGTTTCAGGACATCTTCCTTCTGTATCCTGGGTTGATGGGGCCTGGGACATTGCTGGTTCTCTTGAGCAGGTGCTAATTTCTCTCCAAATGTCCCAGCTCACAGTCTGAAGGGTAAGGACCACGTGGGATTTAGTCTCCCAAATTTGGATGCTTTCTCCAGTTTCTTTGTAGTTGCTTCTAAGAACTCACCTTTGTCTCCCGGACTTAAGAGTTTAACACGTTGGTTGCAGGCGGGGAGGGTGCTTGTCTCTGATGAAGGTTTGCCTCGAGTTGATGTTGTGGGCCCTTTGGGAACTATGCCTTTTTTTGTTTTCTTTTTTTCTTTGGCCGTGCTGCGCGGCATGCGGGATCTTAGTTCCCCGACCAGGGATCGAACCTGTGCCCCCTGCAGTGGAAGTGCCGAGTCTTAACCACTGGACCGTCAGGGAAGTTGCCCTTTTTTCAGTTTTAAATTGTATTTTATGGTGGTAAGAACGCCGAACATGAGATCTACCCATCTAGCAGGACTTAACGTGAACAATGCAGAATTCTGAGCTACAGGGGCGGTTGCTGCTCAGCGGACAAATGTCTGTGTGTTTGAAGTTTCCTTTAATTCTTGGCTTGACCGGTCCCCGCGCGGCTGGCTTCTCCCCTGGTCTCGGGAGAGTGTTTCCTCAGGATGGGCTGTGCGTGTCCGGCTCTAAGGTTGAAGATTCTTTGTCTGGGACTTGGTTTGCTCTGACGAGCATCTTCATGGTGCTGAGTCCTGGCTCCGACGTCAGCGCTTCTCGTTCCTCCACGGGATGAAGATTCATCTCCTCGCTTTACATCAAAACTTAAGGACCACAACACGTTCCTTCCAGTAGTCTTTCTATCTTCCCTCCTTGAAAAAGAAAACCTTCCCTCTTGGAAGGAACTGTAACCACAGTCATTGTGGAAAATTTGGAAAAGTGGTAAAGGAAGTGAAGAGAAGTCGTGTCTGATTCCACCGCTCACGACAGTTGAGGCTAACGCGTTAGCGAACTTCCCTCCACGTTTCCCCCGGCCACACACACGCCTGCACAAAATGTGTGTTCCATCCGTTTGTCGGCAGAAATAGGCCTGTTTACACCTGTTTCCGATTGAGTTACGGCCGTGGCTACTGAGAGCATATCCTTCAGCCTCAGCTTCTTTCTAGTTCACAGCAGAACTTGAACTTTTACAATTTCTTTTTAAGATTAGCTCATTACTTTGACGTGCGTCTTGCTGGCCCTGTTCTTTCCTTCATCAAGGATGTTTCTCTTATTTTCTGAAAGGATTTAGCTGAGAGAAGGCACCTCCTGGCTTGTCCGCTGAACTGAATTCCACACGTCCCCCCACCTTCCTCGTTTTACAAATGAAGAAACTGAGGCAGAGGGAGACTCGCTGACCGTCACGCGATATCAGGGTCCAGTCCCCTGTTGGCCCGCCCAGGGCTCCAGCCTCCTGAGGCTCTGAGATCCAAACGTCAGAAGGGGGAGGCGACGCTGCCGGTCCCACCTGAGTTTTCTCTAATTACTGTGCCGGTGGGTTTCAGACTTTGCTCGCGTGAGTCCCCCGCAGCTGGTGCAGGATGCACGTTCCGAGTTCGGGGCTGGGGCTGGGACTCAGCGTCTCAAACAAGCTCCAACTCGGCGAATCGCAGGAGGAGGCTGGGAGCTTTGCGGAAGCAGGTGCATCTCGTCAGGTGCACCTGTA